TTTCTGTGATGCACTTTCTCATGGGTGAAGTACAGGATTTGCTCTCTTTCTGAAGCACCAAACCGTTTTTCAAAATCCATTTTCCGAGAAAATCACACGTTCGAACATTTTGTTCCCATAGGTTTTTGAGCAGCACATGCGAGTTTTTGAGCTTTCAGCAATAATAACTTCCTTCAAAGAACTTGTTGGGGAGGGGCGAAGACATTTTTGAAGACTACGAGATTTCTGCTTTCTTATGTGTTTTACCGTTGTCTGGAAGAATCGTCCTCAGAAAATCAGGTCCCGAAGAACTTTAATTTCAGCCCCGAGAAGTCAAACCTTTCATAGGGATGCATTCAACTGGTTCGCATTAGCTAGGAAACACTATTCTTTGTTACTCGCTTTCAAAACAGTGTTTTCGCTCTGTCTCATGTGCATATAAATCGAATCTAATGCGGTCTGCACAAGCAAGTCTTGCCCTCGGATACGCCACGCACGCGCCTGTGGCTGGCAGTCCTCGAAATTGCGACCCCCTTCCGACCAAAATGCGACCCCTTCGTTCGAACAGTTCGAACGGACGGTTGACCCTGTCGCGGACTCTGAGACCAGTCTAACATTCTAGTTTTTTTTTCAGGTGGACAAGAATAGCGAAAGGTTGGATCTGAAGAAAGGTTTAGTTATTGAAAGCCGAAAAACCCACTTGTATAAAAAACGGTCCAGCGCGGCTATTTTTATGGAAATTTATAAAAGTTGAGTAATTTCTAGAGAGAAAACTATTTAGAGCTATGAAATTTCCTACTACTTCTCACGCTTTATTTGAAGAAAATTACAACCTTTCAAATGAGTAAGTAACATTTTTGTGAATTCTAATTCTCTACCCCATAACTGACAAGGTTTGAAGATACTGCATAAACCTGGTAGTTTTTTGAAACTGTCAGCCTCGCAGATTACTTATTTACCTAGCATTTTGAGAAATATTGATATTGAACAGGATCAGCCACTCAAACTATAGGCTAATCTGTTCGACTACTGATGAAGGCAGTTCGTTTTATGATTTCGTGCTTATCAGAAAACTACTCAAGCTCATGTCTGCTACTTGTGTTCGAATTCAAACTACGTGCCTTATATTGCTATTTCACGTGATGTTGACCTTTTCCTTAGCAGTGTACAGCACATAATAAGTGCTGGGAGGGGGGAGGGTTGGCATTTCGAGACTCTCCAAGAGGAGGGGTCGTTTTTGACACTAGTACAACGTGGCGGTTGACCCTGCCCGTGACCCAAACTACAAATTTGTAGGGTGGGTCATTTCCTCGACTGATATTCACCCTGATTAGGAGTGTGTGAGATAGCGGATGAGTGGCTCCCTTCTTTCTAGGGCCCGTATCCTATCTTCCCCAAAAGGGTCGCATCCCAAGCCGCTGGTTCTATCCTACGGCTGGGAGAGACAGAGTTACGTCATAGGACTCGTCATTGAACGCGTGACATTGTAGCTACCCCCCCCCCCCTTGTTGAGGCATTCTTTCTAAGAAGGTCGCGCTGTCTGGAGTCTAGAAACGCAGAATATGGCTGGTCTTACGACACAATCCTGCCTCCCCAGCTGCAGGATAGGATCAGCGGCGGGAGACGCGTCCTGCTGCGGGAAGGATGGGATACGGTCCAGGCTTAGCCTTGACCGTATCCCATCAGTAAGAGGGCTCAGATAGCAGGAATTAGGCAACAAAGGTATGAGGTTAAAAGCGAATGTCGAATTAGTAATCGGGCGTCATGTTCCCCTATCCGTTGTATCCTATGTTCTCATGATACACTCCCCACTAGTGGTCTATTTGCAGGGAATTCGGGTAGCCCCACTCAGCTAGTGGCGAATTTTGTCACAATTGAGCAGTGCCCGGAACTTGTTGTGTGTCAGTACCATGTCGAATTCAAACCCGACATCGACTCAAAAAACTTTCGGCACGCTATTCTCAAACAGAAGAGCATCCAGGATGAAATAGGGAACGCCTTCATTTTCGACGGAATGATTCTATACATAGTAAGCAGCTACAATTATGAGGTGAGCCGTTGGTTGGTGTTGCAAGGCTTTTCGTAGGAATCTAAGAAATTTAGGGAAAGTATTCCGCTGTCCATCCAAGCACAGAGCAACCAGTCACTGTTTCACTCAAGGCATCTGTGCGATTCAGTCAGAATGATTCGCAAACTATAAATTGCTACAATATCATTATCCGCAGGTTGGCAAGTATCCTTCTATATATGTAATTCGCTAAGTATGTCTGTGCGTGTGTGTGTAGGTCTGTGTGTGTGTGTGTGTGTTTGTCACGAAATCCATGGCGAGCGTACCAACAGTCGTCGGGAGCTGATTTCAAGACATGATATAAGGGGTCGCACGGTAGCATCTCTGGTTCATAATAGGTCGCTTGCATTGTTCGTGACACTCTACAAGAGTTGAGCCTTTTTAGTTGCCTTGACATGGTCGGACTGAAACGCTTGGGTCGGAATCATTTCTATGAGAAGCAGAAAAGCAAGCTTCGTGACTACAACATGGAAGTGTGGCCAGGATTTGAGACTGCCGTCCGCCAATACGAGGATCAACTGATGCTCTGTATTGAAAACCGTTTCAAAATGATTCGAACTGAATCAGTGTGGGACGTGGTGAGTTTCTGATTGAAAAGCGTTGTGCAACGAAACTATACTAGCTAAAAGGTGATGCGATTTCTTGAAGCTTTTTTTTGCTAATCAAATAGTTAGGTTTTCAATGAGCTCCCAGGCAAAGGTATACCGACTATACTCCATCGTTTGCCTTTTCTTTTCATCGTACAGTATAAACGCAGTAGTCCGTCGATCTGTTGCCTTTGCGTTTTATCATTCTTCTACATTTTCTTTCGTATTCACGCATTTTCTTGACCTCTGCATCTTTTTTGTTTTTCTCCACCTCTTATCGCACATTCGTACCTTTTTTTTACTTTGCTTTCTGATTGCAGCATACTACTGATGAAGCTGATATAATCTCCGTAATAGAAATGGTTTCCACAAGGATGCTGGTTTATAAAAACATTCGCCCAGAGGACATTCGAGCCCGCACCTCTCGCTTACGTAGGCAAGTGCGCTACAAGCTACGCTACCGGGCACCGTTTTGCCCTAACTCATCCATGCTATAAGCGATGGTAAATATGCAATGAAAAGCTGTAACGCATTTGCCCGGTAAACGGGTGGTTCGAGTTCTAGTCCCGCCTGGGGCGAAAGTTTTGTTCACAACCCAGCATTCTTGTGAAACATTCGCAACGCGAACTGCGGCGTTAAAACAGCAGTTAACAAACAAAACAAATCAAAGTGGTTTTGTTATATCGCCATTACCTTATACTGACTCACACAATCACATGATCAAGTTCAAAAATATTACGTTCATGAACATGTCACTTGAGGCGCGCAGTCAGTTAGGAGGGATTGAGGTAGTTGCTTTCCCTTTCTTCACGTTGCTTCACGTTGTTATGAGGGTAGTGGGAGGGATACCGGTTCTACCGAAGAAGTC